TCGTAAGCATTAATCTAATTGGTCATATGGATATTACATGAACATCCGAAACTGATTGGACGATTAATTGTAAACAATTTTCGATAAATCTTAAACTTCTCTTTTAATAATCGCTGCTAAAATGACATACGTTAATACTATATTTACGGATGGTCCCTTGGAGGTACAGGTGTGTTAGATGATAAATAATCACCATTCACTCGTGTATTCTTAAGAAAGTATCTTGATACTTAGTAAAAGACGAACATCGAGTTCTCGAAAAATAAAGTTGGACTAAAGATAGATCTTAATTTACAGGCTTTAGAATTTGCTTCTTACATCTCTAAGCTCAAAGGAGAACCTGAAGAAGCTGGCCCTTTCCTAAAAGAGACAACTGCCTTGTTGAAAGAAAATAAATTGGAACAAGTATTTCAGGCATTTGTAGCGGTGGCTTCAATATTGTTAGACGCGCCAGAGAAAGGTATGTTTGAACATAGATGCTACATATATCTTTCAATTTTCATCACACATTTACCTTTAACTAACGTTTTTCCAGAATTTGAAGCCGTATATAATCTTCTTATTGCAATTTTAAAATCGGCGTCGCCTGAAACATATCCGGTTTTAATAAACCAATCCATCAAAGCATTGGTGAATGATGAACACGACAAGGCTATCCAAAAACTCAAAGTGTTTGTTGAATTTTCAACTTGAATAATTAGTATATATATATATATATATGACTTTATTTTTTATGTTTTTTTTTTTTGATCGATTAATTTTTAATGGTTGTAGTCTCCAGAATTTGTACAACACTCTAGAATATTCTTCACCACTCCGCTATGACGTGTTCGTTGGAATTCTTGATATTGCTACTAAGAATGATGAAATTGAAACCATACTACCACAGTTGCCGCGTCTGGATACTTGGGTGAAAGAATGGTCAATATCTACGGAGCAAGTTCGGGAACTATATTTAACGGTTTCAAATAAATTGAAGGAAGCAGGAGAAATGTACGTGTTTTAATAAAATTATAATTTACTTTAGCTTTAGCTTGGTTTCTAGTTTGACAACAAAAAACATATAATGAATTGCATAGTAAGCGATCTCACGACTTCCTACTGAAATATCTTGCGACCTACACGTCATCTGATGATCTTTCTGCGGCAAAGTCCGCAGCAAGTCGTGCAATCATAGAAGCAATTCAGTTACCTGAAATTTTAAGTTTTGAAGATTTACTTGAGTTAGACGCTATTCAAACATTAAAAAATGACGAAGTTTTTGAATTATTAAAAGTTTTTTTAAATGGGAATTTGAAAGAATACAAATCATACGTCGACACAAATCCGGGCGTTGTGGAAAAACTTGGTAAACAGATAGAATGTGTGATATTTATTTAATAATTTTCGCTTTATGTTAAAATCATAATATTGTATGTACCATCATTTTTTCAGGATTGTCAAATGAAGATAACACGCGTAAGATTCGCTTACTGACATTAGCTTCTTTAGCATCGGAACATGTTGCGCGTGAGATTACGTATCAAACAATTGCAAAAGCTCTCGAAATTGAAGAAGATGAAGTCGAAATGTGGACAATCGATGGTAAAACTCAATACAGCAAATTTTTTTGGTCACAATGTTTAATCTAAATATATAATATTTCTACAGTGATTCGTGCACATCTGATTGAAGCTAAAGTCAACCAAGTTCGTAAGACCATTTTAGTGAACCGATCAACGTATCGTACGTTCACAACGAGCCAATGGCAACAATTATCCGACAAACTAGATGGTTGGAAGCAATCACTTGCAGATATTTTACAAGTGATTGCTAATGCAAAATTAATTGCGCAACATTCAAATGTGAACGCTAACGTTGCATCAAGTTCAGCTGTTGTTGTAATTGATGGAGC